GGGGGGTCGCCCCGCCTTGGGCCCCGCCGCCCCCCAGCCGCTGCCGGCCGAGGGCCTGGCGGGTGCCGGGGGGGGCTGCTCCGGCACAGCCCAGGAGGTTTGGGCACCCTCCCCGGGAAGGCTGCAGTCAGCAGGTACTTACCACCATCTAGTGGCCCTTCAGCCAAGTGCGGGGGGAGGAGGAGGATGCGCTGGGTTAATCCTCAGTCGTGGGCTGGGCTGGGCTGGGCCCGGACCAGAGGGCTCTGGGGACGCTTGGCGGGTGCCGGGGGGGGCTGCTCCGGCACAGCCCAGGAGGTTTGGGCACCCTCCCCGGGAAGGCTGCAGTCAGCAGGTACTTACCACCATCTAGTGGCCCTTCAGCCAAGTGCGGGGGGAGGAGGAGGATGCGCTGGGTTAATCCTCAGTCGTGGGCTGGGCTGGGCTGGGCCCGGACCAGAGGGCTCTGGGGACGCTCAGAGCTGGGGCTGGAGACGAGGGGCCACTGCCCGCACCCAGCTCCGGCTTCAGACCCACAGCGAAGTCTGGAGCAGCCAAACGTAGAGAAGAAAATGGCTTTATTGTGGGTTGCCAGCCTCCCCGCGCCCTCGCCATGCCCCGGTGGCATCAGAGCGGGTACCACGGGGCAGAGCAGGGCGCCGGGGCACCGTGCGTGGGCTGGGTGATGGGACGTGGGTCTGTTCATGCAACGGGTTCCCGTAGGAGGCTGGGGCCGGTGGTGGGGACAGCGTAGCCGGTTTCTCAGCGTGGCCAGGGAGAGAAGCACCTGGATTCGGGGAGGGGGAGAGACACGGGTGACGGTGGGGAAGGAGACACCGAGACGCAGGCTGGGACTGACACGGCCTCGCACGTCGGTGTCTCGTGGGCACAGAGGGGATAAGGAGGGCGGGAGATCTCTGGGCAAACGTGGAGGTCTCGCTGCCCCAGGCAGGTGTCAGGACTCTGCCTCTAGCTTGGCTGCAGACCTCCTCCGCTTTCCCCGCCCTGACCTGTGCCTCAGTTTCCCCATCTGCCAAATGCCTCCGATAACGGGTTTTGTTTGGGAGAAAAACACTGCATATGCAGCGCTTGGTGTCAGCGTTGGTGTTACAGCCGGTGACACAGAGCTCCCTGGGTGCGATGGAGGTGGCTGCCGTGGTTTTAGCACGTTTCTCCCATGGAACTTGAAGGACTTGAAATCCAGGGAGGGACACTGGGCAGGGTGGCATTGTCCCTGAACTGCGACTGTGGTTCCGGGTCTCGCCTGCTCCCACGTGAAACGGAGACCAGGAGATGGAGCCAAAGACAGTCCTCAAGGCTCAGCGCCCCAGAGATGCTGGGGCACCCCAGGAATGGAGCCGCCTCCCCAGCACCCGCCTCCACGCCCCATCCCCAGCAGGTGCACCCCGGGGTGCCACCTCTCACCTGGGGTGCCACCTCTCACCTGGGGTGCCGCGGTCCTCGTCACTCCTCCAGGTCGTAGGCAGCCACCAGGTAATCCTTCGGGACAATGCCGACCATGTTGTTCAGCTCTCCGACCCACCAGCCGTACACGTTGTACTCCTGGGGAGGCACAGCCGGAGGGACGCGGGTTTAGTGCCGGGGCAGGGGACGTGGCTCAGGTCCCTTCCTTCAGTACCTGCATCTGCAGAGAGCAGCCCCCAGACTCCCACCAGAAAATACCCCAGTCCCACCTCTCCCCCCTGTAAATCCTTCGCTGTCCTTCCTAACCCCCCTCCTTCCTTCTGCCCCGCTCTCCCCTTCGCCCTGGGTCCTGCGGGGCATGGCTTGGGGCTGGCTCGGAAACTCAGCGTTTAATTCACACCCTGATATTTTGGGGTATTTTAGTTACAGATGGCAACCCTCGGGATGTCCCAGGCCCCAGCCTGGAGCTCCGTGAAGCCTCTCCAGGTGGATCGTGCCTGGGTAACACATCCCCTCCCCAGATTCACGTGTGATTTTCCCCTCCCAGCAGATATCGGAGGCAAATAATAACAGAGAAAACTTCCCCCGCTGTGTGTGCGAGAGGAGGAGTTAGCACACACAGGCTTAAGAAGTTTGCCATCAAAGTAGGAGATTTTTTTTAATTTTTTTTTTAAAGGAGATGGTAAAAGCGATGTGCACAGCAGCGCGTCCTGTCCCGTGTCCCACACGAGCTCTGACCCCCCCCCCC